GGTTGCAAAGGTTGACTGTGTCCCCTCTTGTTATTCATATCCTTTATTCCTCTGGATGAGTCCTGAGGAAAAATAAGCCATTTGGAGATCCATTCTCCACCTTCTTGATAACGATTAGCCTAGTGCTCTGAGAGGGAGAGCAGTGAAGCTGAGTTTGTCCTGAGGCACCGGAGAGGGGCCTGGGCGCACGGGGGGAAGGCAGGGTACGGTGTTTGGTACGTGCAGAACACACGGAGCCTTGACTTGCTTTAATGTGGAAATCCCCAGCTCCCCCAGAGCAGCTGCTAATCGCCACAAGTGTTCTCTTGGGGATAAATCCAGTCTGTGAGAACACTTCAGTCTGGACCAAAATCGGTCTGATGAGAACCATGTGTGTCGCCTCTTTCTTCTTCCAACATTGCTTGCTCTATAAATGGCCTTAAAGAATGCGTCGTTCAGCCCCAGCACTGATTGAGGACTTGCCGTGCCATGTGCCAGGGATTTCCAAATTCAAGGATTTATCTGCCCTCACAACTGCTTATGAGAAGATGCCATCATTCCTTGCTTTAAAAGTAATTAAGACAGCTATACAGGCATACCATAATGAAGGTCCACAGCTGCAGCTTGAGCTCTGATAAGCTTGTTCCCTCACATACACTGCCGAAGCATACTGACACGGACTGCTACAAACCAGTAGACGGCAGACACTCGGGGAGCTATTCTGTGATCATGCCTGTTTGTATAATATGTATTAGAATAGACATATAGGCATGAATTACATACAGGTGTGATTTGTATGTGTTTGCAAGAAGATATTCATATGGTAGATGTTTGTGTATCATTTCCACAGACATATGTTTCCACATGGATGTTTATAGATCCTAGAGGATCCTTCCCTGTGCTAAATGGAAACATGTTAGAACAGGATGTGCCCTCTCTATCCCAAACCCTGCTCACTTTCTGGAGATGTAGCCAAGGGAACCAGCATTTATTGCTTACAGCTCATGTGTCAATGGGGAACACCGAAGAAATGCCTCCACGGAGCTGACTAACCCACATACTCAGTGCTGGGAGATGAATCCACGGTGTTTCTGTGAGTGGCCAGGACACTGGTGGGCTATGGCCTTGAGCTCAGGCCCTCCAGGAGTACACAGACTTTCTTCACTGCAGAAGGAGAGCCATGGCTTGCTTGCATCCTTGCCTCTCCTTGGGGACTGCTCCGAAAATGTGCTTCCCTCTGTTCAGACACTTAGGTACCCACAGTGGGACCAAGGCCGGGCAGGTGATGTGACTGCATAGTTGCCGTGAGCCATTTGCCCATGAAGGGCATCCTCTAAACCACAGAAGCAGACATGCACATGGTCAGAGAATACAGGGGTGGCTCACTGTTGAGGTTTCAGGGTCACAGGGTGCTTGCTGTGTTAAGGCCACACCACTGAGCCCTGAGCCTTCCCATTCCAAGAGGACAGATTTCCTCCCAGGAATTCCTTTAACCGCCACCAGGGGGCAGCAGGTCCGAAAATGGAAAACTGGAAAGTTTACTGGAAAGTCCATATTAGTGAAAAACAAAAAAGATGGATTTCATTTTTTTTTTTGCACCAAATAAACTTTCCTTACAGTTCCATTTCTCCTAAATTTGTAAAATACTCTCAAATATCTTGCTCTGTAGGAGTGGGAAGCTGCCTGGTAGAAGGGACTTACTGAATTTCTAGAGTGGGTTTTCACAGTCTTGGGTGTTTCTGAGGACACGGCCACTTTTTACAGTGTTGCCAGCGTAACTGGGACACGTGAGTTCTTCAGGAATAAGCGCAAATGCTTGAATAGAAATGCTTGAATAGAAATAGATAAGGCTCTATGGTTACATTTGTATATTAGCTCAAAAATTTAAGTGTGCAAAATGAAATTATAGAAACATTTAAATGTCTAGAAATAAAAACTTAGGAACCTTATTCAGTGTAGACTTTTTTCTTAAGAATATTCACTGTAATAGAAAAAATTTTTAAATCAACAAAAACACTAAAAATAAGAAATAACAAACATAATAAAAAAAAAGAAGAAACAAAAATAGAGGAGAAAAGAATATGAACTGTAGGCAAGGTGCTGTGACGCAGTGAGTTAAGCCACTACTGGGGACACTTGGGTCCCATATACAGAGTGCCTGGCATCACTTCGCACCTCCATTTCTGATATCAGTTCCTATTCATGTGCTAAGGAAGCCACAAGTGATGGCTCAACTTGAGTTCTTGCCACCCATGTGGGCAACCCAGATGGAATTCTCAGTCCCTGGCTTTGGTCTGGTCCAGCCCTGGTTATTGCGGGGTGTGAGGGGGTGGTATTTGGGAAATAAACCAGTAGATGGGAGATTCTCTCTCTGACTCTCTCTATAGGCCTTCTTTTTATTTTTATCTTAGCTGTATTGCTTTTATATATTTTTCAGAGCATGAACCGTTACGTGATGTTTGTCACCCTTACCCACATTATTTATCCTGGCTATGAGATTATGTAAATGTGCACTGTCACATTGTATGCTAAGTGCTTCTGCTAGGATTCTGGGTTTGGTGTGTGTGTGTGTGTGTGTGTGTACCTTCTGTATACAGTCTCTGGGAAGGGCTCACAAGAACACTATTTTCTAAATCCTCGCCAGTCCTTTGCTATTTCGTTCTGGTCTTTAAACTTAAGTGCTAATTTGAATGAATATGAAATCAATTTATCTTCGAAAGGACAACTTTACCTTTCACACGTTTAGCCCTTAAAGTTCTAGCCACAGCTCCCAGAGTTTTTGTTTTTATGAATTAGAATTCAAAGTTGTGGCTTGAAACTACAGAAGTTGTATTCTTCTCATGGAGATGAGGAGTATTGAAAGGGCTGCATTCCTTTTGGAACCTCTAGGGGAAAATTCCATGTCTTACCCAGATTCTAGAATTTGCCAACACTCTTAGATTCAGCATATGGCTTCGATAACTCTTTTAGTCTTTATAGTTCTTTTTACTGACCTAGGCCCTCTTATCTCACTCTTGAAGAAGAAGAAGAGGAAGAGGAAGAAGAAGAAGAGGAAGAAGAAGCAGCAGCAGCAGCAATTATCGAGAGAGAAAAAGCATGAGAACCAGAGACAGAAAAGTCCTCCACCTCCTGGTTCACTCTGTTAATGACTTCAAGTCCTGGGGCAGAGAGGCAGGAGCTCCCACCGGGGTAAAAAGGCCCAGTCACTTGGCCATGCTCCAAAGCCTTCCCAGGTGCCTTAGCAAGTTGCTGAACTGGAACTCAGCACCCATATGGGAGGCCAGAGCTGCAGGTGGTGGCTTTAACCGATACACCACAGTGCCAGCCCCATTGTCTCACTCTTACACCGATGCTTGTTGTTGCATTAGGCTCGCTCCTGTAATCCAAGGTAGTCCTGCCATTTCAATTCCTTGACTCAGTCGCATCTGCAAAGTCTTCTTTTTGCCCTAAATATAAAGTAGTATTATAGGAGTGTTATTAGGTCTTGTCTCATGGTGACTAAGAGTGATGACACAAACACACAATGAGAATGAGCAAAAGTAGATTTTATTGAGAAGCAAAGCCAGCAGAACCAACAGAGGGTCCTGTAAGGTCTGGGTAATGGTTTCCAGAGGGGGTGCCTTTGGATCCATTCCCTAACTAGTTTCAGCACATTGGGTGTCTGTTTTTTTCCCCAGGTATTTGTAGAAGTGGTCATGGTCTTCCACCAGTTGAGAAATGTTGCAGTTGGGAAATATTGCTGATCAGTTAAGAAATCTGTGTGGTCTTGTTTGGAACAAGAGCCTAGTTTCTCACAGTTGTTTGTGAGATCCATTGTGCTTCCTTTCTCTGCCTACCTTTCCTGGATCTGACTCGTCATGGTTGCATGCTCACAGGTCCCTAGGATAGGAAACGAACATCTTTGGAGGTTGTTGACCAGCTTACCACATTTTATCTTAACCTTGGAGATTCCCTTTCTTACCATAAACCAAAAATGCAGTGGAAAGCATGTGTGGTGCAGGAGGTAGCTAATCTGTTGTGAGAACTCTCTCAGAGAATCAAGTCTTCTGCTAGCAGCATGTGTCCCTCCTAAGACGTTTCTAGATCACGTTGAAACCAGTATCTGTAAGGATGAGTTTTAAAGACTACTGATAAAAATAACTCTCCAGGTGATCGAGCTTTTCAACCCTATAACTTGTTCACATATAGTGGGTGGGGCATCATGAGAAGTCAGAGCTGAATGACAGGGAGGTAGGGAGGAGTGTCAGAGGCTCCTGGCAGAGAAGCTGCTAACATAAGCCTTCTTCCTTTTCCTTGCACAGCTCCTGAGGGCCTGCTTCCATGGACTGGTAACCTTTCAGTCAACTTTCCTTCGCACCATTGCACGCAAGCAGAGGCTAAAGCTCTAGAATCAGAGGTAGAAAAGACTTAGAGTGATGTTTTCCTGTCTAGATCCTAATTATTCTTCATGGCTCATCACTAGGAAGCCTCTTGTGGATGAAACCTTTTCTGGCCCGTCCATGCTAAATAGTGACTGTGTCATTCCTTCCCCCCCACCACTCTGTGATGCTTCCTATTTCTTGGATTCATGTTCAATATTCTCTCAATTAGAGTCTCTTTAAGGGTGAGAACTATACCCAGTTCATCATGATCATAAACCTATAATCTTCTGTCCCTTATGTCAAAGGAAGTAGTTGAATGGAACATGGTGATCAGTTGCTTTGGAGGGCTTTTATTGATTTATTAGGATGGGTGGAACAATAGACAAGTGGCAGAGGGCGGTGTCCCTAAAACCTCTGCGTGCTGAAGAGACTTCAGCACAAAGAGATGATGTTCCTGCCGTCCTGTTCCTGGGAGAGTCTGTACAGCAAAGCAGGTAAGGGAGTTTAGGATAGAAAGCACTTTGCACAAATGATATCATCGAGAACTCCCTTGGAAGGGAAGGATGCAGTATGACTAGGAGCTGATTGATGTCTAGGGACAGGGCACACTAACCCTTCTCTCCAGCTGTCTTTTGGTCCAGACACAGGGGCCAGGTGGAGTTATGGCTTGCTGCCTTTGAAGTAGGAATACAGCCCCTTGGCCGAGAAGCCTGGTTTCTTTTCTGGTTGGGCAGTATTCTGGGCCTGTGCCGAAGGAGTGTTGGTGTCCTTGCTGTCCTGGTCATGCCACTCAATCACTGGCTTACTCGTGTCATCGTCAACCCACTCGCTGGTGATCCTTGTGGACTCTCTCTCTCCCTGTCCTCCTGGATTCCTTTCTGACTGGGCAGCTTCTTGGGCCTGTGCCGAAGGAGTGCTGCTGTCCTGGTCCTGCCACTGAATCACTGGCTTGCTCGAATTGTCATCAACCCATTCGCTGGTGATCCTTGTGGACTCTCTCTCACCTTGCCCTCCGGTCATGCTGTACCTGGAGTGAGTGCTGCTCCACTCCTGTCTTCCAGTCACAGTGCCTGCCCCAGTCTGGGCCTGTGCTCCTTGCACCGACCCTCCTGCCTCATAGTTGCTCACATGTGTCCACTTTTGGCCACTGCCAGACTGTGTCTGGGTCTGTCCTCCCTGTGTGCCTGCTTCAGTGTGACTTTCACTTTGGTGTCTGCCTTGGTCCACAGTCTGGGTCTGGGATCCTGTTTGTGTCTGAGCTTGTCCTCCTGTCACAGCCTGTGTGGACTGGCTGGTCTGGCTTTTGCCTTGACTGTGGGTCTCAGACCCACTGGTCTGGCCATCAGAGGACTTGTGTGTCTGGATGCTGGTACTTCCTTTCTGATGGCTTGTGCCCTGCTCTACAGTCTTGGTGTAGGACCCTGTCTGAGCCTGAGCTTGTCCTCCTGTCACAGCCTGTGTGGACTGGCTGGTGTGGCTTTTGCCTTGACTGTGGGTCTCAGACCCGCTGGTCTGGCCATCAGAGGACTTGTGTGTTTGGATGCTGGTACTTCCTTTCTGATGGCTGGTGCCCTGCTCTACAGTCTTGGTGTAGGACCCTGTCTGAGCCTGAGCTTGTCCTCCTGTCACAGCCTGTGTGGTCTTTCTGTTATCTTGACCTTGAATCTCGGGTTTTACAGTCTGCCCATAGGGGGACTTTTGTGGCTGTGTGCTGGTGCTTTCTGTCTGTTGGCTCCTGCCCTGCTCCATGGTCTTAGTGGCACCTGCTTGGGTCTGAGTTGCAGTTCCAGTTTTAGTCTCACCTCCCTGGGAAGCTCTATCCTGCTCCTTGGCCTGTGATTGACTCTCTGACTTACTCTCCCTGATCTGCCGATTCTTATCTTCCATGCTCTGAGTCTGCCCCACATGCCCACTGGCCTGTGCCTGCTGATTTGCTCCCTTTTGTCTCTCAACCTCTGTCTGCCTGTCATGGCTGCTGGCCTGACTTTGGGTCTGAGTCTTGGTGCCACCCTGCTCTCTGGAAGTCTGCTCGCTCTGTCCTTTCCCATCCATCCCAGCTTTAGTGGCACTTGTCTGTCCTCCCAGCTCTTGTGAGGCCCCCGTCTCCTGGCTTCCAGACTCTTGAGATCCACAAGCTTCCTTGCTCAGTGTCTTGAAACAGGCCTGTGCAATTTTAAACACCAAGACCAGAAATTCCTTGAACTCCACAGTCCCTGTGTCATCTTCATCCAGCAGGCGAAGGACTTCATCCACAGTGGCGGGGTCGTGGGGTTTCTGGGGAGAGGACAAGGCTAAGTCAGCATCTCTCATCTGAGGAAGATGTGGCGAGATCAGCTCCACACAGCTTTTGGGCTTCCCACCCTTTGAGGACGAGGAGCTCGTTCCTTAGACCCACCACACTCAGCATTCATATCATGTGGCAGCAGTAATCCTTAATAGCTTTCATTTTTTTTAGTCCTGTTGCTTTATTTCCTATCCATCCACATGGTTTCAAGCATATGAAACAGCTGTGTTATTACAGAATGAATAATGAGTTCATCCTACTACTCTTCAGGTTCTAGAGCTGAATGTTCGGGCCACCCCTGGTACTGAAGCCAGAGGAACAGAGTCTTCAGGATTTCTATGAGTTCCTCACTTGGACTCAAACGTTTTCACAGGATAGAGTGAGTGGGGGGTCCAGGAGGACTGTGGGATTCCTGAAGCATCCAGAGGCAACGCCCTGTTGTGCCCATAGTCTTCTTCTCAAGCCCCCAATGTTCCATGGCTTTGGAAGCAAACCAAAGGCAGGAAAGCACAGAAACGCCCTGGGTCTGGCTTGCCAGGAGGTAGGACTCGCAGAGTCCACCTAGTAGTGAACAACTCGCTCTCTTAAACTTCAAGTGTGATGTGATCAGTCAGGTCATAACTTTTAGCAATTGCTTTGTTTGGAAGACCCAGAGCTAGGCTTTTAATGAATGCTTATTAATAGATCATCAAATTCAAGGTAGACATAAAAAAGTGATTACCATCTCAAACTTAAGAAGCATGAGAAAGCTGCAGTCACTCTCATTTCTAGATCATTCCAAAGCTCTGATAACTCTCTGCAATGTCTCATTAAGGTCCTTTTACTTTTCCTTCAAATTAGAACTAATTAAAGCCAACATATTTGTTGCCACTCCCATACTAATCTTGTTCCTCTGCCTTCTTTTTCACTGCCTGCACTAATGCCACCAGCACCAGCAGGCCTTGATTAGCTGTTGCCTCAAACCAACCCCAACCAGGTAAAGCTTCCTCAAGCAACATCCCCTCCAGCCTGGCTTGGCACATCATACCACAATGACATCTGCAAACTCATGCTCCACGAGTCTTTTCAGCTCCCCTCGGGTGAGCACTTGGCAGTTGCCCTCCACCTTGGCATAGCGCCCAAAGGCCTCGATGATCTCATTAATGTTCCGCAGTAACTGGGGCATCTTGGATGTCAAGCTGGAAGACATGAAAAGCCCCCGTGGGGGCTCCACAGTCAGCCTCAAACCTTTCCATGGGAGAGCATCTTCTTCTTGGCCCTTTCCTTGAAGATTCAGCTGTACTCTCAGTCTTCCTTCATGCTTTCCTGCTGTGTGTGCTTTGTGCATGGGGAGGAGGGCCATGCAGTGAGTGCATCGGAAATAAATGCCAGCCCCGGCACCTGCCTGTCATGTGAGCTGGGCTGAGTTTGCTTTTCTTCCATACCTCAGTTTACTCATTGTGAATGAAGATAGTACAGGCACTGTAGAGGATTTATTGTGAAGATTTAAAAAGATAAGTGCTTGGTAGATGACTGGCTTATACTAAGTGGTAGCTATTACATATGATTATGTTATTATATACATATACACATATATAATTTTTGTGTTTGCGTGTGTATACAAAGCACATATACTTTACTGCCCACAAAGCACTTTTCTGTGCATCATTTCTTGTAATTCTTTTTATCTCTACCTCTTTAAATGAGGAAACAGGCTATATCATTTGCCCAAGGCCACATAGCTCCTACGGGAGCAAGAAATTCTGGAGCTTTGTTGTTCTAACTCAAATGTGATGGTTTTCTAGAAGGCATCCAGTGGACAGGGTTCATTTGCCTATTACAAGGTATTAGGGTCCCACTGAGAACACCAGTGGGCAGTAAATACATGGGTGAGTTAATTCTCTTGCATGGGGGCTAAGTAAAAACTCCATTGGTACAACTCTATTCTCTCTTGCTAACTGTCAAGAATGCTGAGGGAGGCTGGCATCCCTGAATAGGAAGCTTTCCCATCTAGCCCTAAGATCTATCGGGGAGATCTGCTTGTCCGATAGATATGTGGCTCCATCCAGCCCAGAATCCCTGTGGACCCATGAGCAATGGTTACCAGTTGAAGGGAGGGGTCTCATTGTCTTTAACCAAGAATCTAGGGGTAGATGGAGATGAGTGGGTGAGTGGCCAAGAGGAATACAGACTTGTAGAATGTGTTAAGCAAAACACTAGGAGAGCTCCAAAGGGAGGAGATGGTATGAGAGGTGAAGAGGTTCAGAGGCAGTGGAAGGTGGAAGTTTGCAGTTACTGGAAACCAGAGAAGGGACCTTGGAGCTATAAAGGAGATCATGGGAAGAGGAGGATGTGGTTACAGAGAAGCAGGGGGAGGGTAAAAAGGAAGAGAATTTGAATGTTTTTTAAAAAGCAGACCATGCTTATAGATTCAAGATGAGTATCCTTCCTATGACCTGGTGGCCAATAATTTCAGGCAGATTGTTCTGTCTTTGTGCACATCAAGGCACAAAACTCAGAATATTGTTCTTCAACATAGATGGGAGATGGCATTTTTTAAAATCATGGGGCAAACTTTAACCAGACTTATAAATAGTAAAAATAATAAGATTAGTTTTTAGTTAGACTTTGTTATCCTTAGAATAAATCCACAAATCCATTTTGCCTGAAGTAAGGAAGGGGAGTCTTACAAATGCTTCCCTCCTCGAGCCAGCTAGACCTCAGCATCTTTTGCACAGACTCTTAGCACCAGAAAGAAGTTTCCAGAGCCTCAGCAACAGGAACCTTCGCTGATCCAGGAAGGCAGGTGGATGGCTCCATTGCTGAAGCTCATGCCATCTTAGGTGAGAGGGGGCTGCTGCTAATACAGCCTCCGGGTAGAAGAAGAAAACCCCATTGCTTCAGGAGGGCATCATTTTACAATGTATCTGGCTTCTGGTTTGCCTGCAGCCCGAAATCTCTGCTCCCAGAGCCAGCTCTAATGGATGTCTAGCCCAAGGCTGACAGGCTCGTGAGTTGGGATCACCAAGTCAGTAAGAATACAGAACCCTCACCCCTGGGAGAGAACTTACCTTATGCCCAGGTAGGATGAGGCAGGTGGTTGGGAAGCGGTGTGAGGAGTACCCGGTCAGCAGAGTAAGAACCTTTTATAGGGAATTTAATTGAGGCTCGTGTTGCAGACAGGATGTTCCGCCCTCCAGGAACTTGATTCATCCAAGACTGAACCCAGCCCCACCCCAGCTCCTTTCTTCTCTGTTTCCTCAACCAACATGTGTTGGCCCCTCCTACCACAGTTGAGGCTCTCTCTAGCTGGGTCTGGCCCCACACCACAAGGAGATCCGTGTCCAGTGTGAGGGATCCAGCATTGCTCAGTGTGGGCTGAGGTTTATGGTGAACATTCTTTACCTCCAGTGCACCTGCAACCATTCAAAACGCGCACAGATTCAAAAACAGAATCTACTGGGGCTTATCCTTTTCAGAATGGCCACTTTGGGAGGCTACACATATTTTTCTGGTGATGGTGTTATTACTTAGAACATATTTTGAATTCTTGTCTTGGAATTGACTTTATGAGACATAAGAAAGCCATTTTCATTTCTTTATAGTTGGGGCTCAGTTTAGACTAGAAAAGGCTAGAACTTCTCTCACCCAGTGCTGTGGGTACCCAGCCTTCTGTAGCTTTGAGAGAAGAGGTGGACACGGTCATGTACATCTTCCTCATTGCAGACAGGGAACTCAACTAACTGACTAACCAGCAAGAGTTCATGGAAGGAAGCTCTACTTCAGACCCAGGGCTAAGGCCTGACACATACAGTGTTGAATAAGGTGGTGACAGTTTCAATTCTTGCAGTTTATAAGTTGCTAGTCTAAAGGGAAGTCCTTGAGAGATTGATGATAACTGCATTGGCCATTCCACTCCATTTTTAAAACCTTCTCATCTTGTAGGTTCCCCACAACAATCCTATAAGGTAGTGTGGCTGGTAAATGAGAATGCTGAGAAACCCTCAGGAAAGTGGCCACTTGGTGAAGAAGGGGTAGGGCTGCACTTGAGCCCCCTCAGACTCCACACCTTGGTTTCCTCTGTTACAACCCGTTGAGGCTTATTCTTCATGACATTGGCACTTTGCAAAGAACAAATTCGTCCTCCATACGTAACTGGGAATATGGAGAGGGAAACATCTTGCCAAGTCTCAAAGGGGGCCAAGATCCAAGGGGATGCTCCTGAGCAGCCATCTGGAAAGAAGCATATAAAGCTGCTCCAGCAATTTTGGGTGGGGAAAGTCATCTCTCATCATCACTCACACATCAGTGTGCGCGAATGGGGGAGTTAGGCTGGGAGGGTACTGTAAGGACCTTGTTTGCTGTGACTGGCATGGTGAAGATAGCCCTGCAGTAGGAACACAAACCCCCAGCACAGCAGGGCACAGAGCCTGAGTGAGCAGACAGCTGAAGGAGGCCCCTCAGGCCTTCAGCATGGAGGGATCTGCCCTGAGCAAGGAGCTGTCCACAGCAGAGAAGGGCTCCAGCTGAAGGAGAGATGGTGTGTGAGGTTGTTGTGGAACTGGCCAGTGTTAGGAGACAGCTGATTGAGAAGGGGCTGCTGCAGAAAAGGAGTGACTTCAGCAGATGAGCCTTTCCTTTGTGGCTAGAACTTTCATAAAGGCTTGGAGAGGATGTTAGGAAAGTAAAAGCCTGATGCTATAACTATGAGGCAAGTGTTATTACAAGCAATTTCCCGATGAAGAAACCAAGGCAAGGAGAGGTTAAATAAACTACTCAAGGGAACATGCCTAGAAAGTGATAAACCTGAAGCTGAACTGAGTTCTGCCTGCCTCCACAACCCTAGTCTTTCCTGTGGGTTGAGTCAAGTGTGAAGAGGAGCACAAAAGTAGAGCTGGGGTGCTGGGGACTAGGGGCAAAGGTAGAGGGATTGGGGGTGTCAGAATACATCCAGCAGGGTAGCTGGGACAGCAGAGGCCTGTGGGATCCTGTTGAGAAGAGGCTCCAGGAAAGAGGAGGCAGAGGGCCGCTCACCCAGAGTACACTCTTCCCCCATGTGTCCTTGGACCTGCTTTCATGCTTCCCTCACATATGCTGAACATGTGTGCTTAGTTAGCTATCATCCTAGATCAAAGTAGTGCTCCTTATCAATGTTTCACACCAATGGTGCTTTGATCCTGGTGCCTTGGTAGCTCTCCTGGAACTCCCTGCTTACACACATGCGACACCAATTGTATATCAAACCTGATCATTGTAACCGACGTCTGAGCTGAACTATATTTGAAGTGTTGCTTTGCTGAATGTATATAAACTGGAACTTGGAAATAAACTTTGTCAGTTGCCTAAGAGAGCACTGTATCCCCCATTTCTTTTCGGTCGCTTCTTCTCCCCAGGAACCCGCAGGTAAAATTGAATTGCAGGGATGAACGTCAGGGGCAGGCTGAGGGAGGGGAGGAAGTGGGAGAGATTGTTGACAGTCTCTGAGAGCACATGGGCTAAATTTGCAAAGTTAATGAAGAATTCCATAAGTCAGTGATTTTACTTAGCAGTTGTGTTTGGGGGGCATGCTAGAGGGCAGAGAGGGGCTGGGGTCTGCTTAGAAATTGAGCCAAACTCTCACCACCCAGGTGCTGTTCATTTTTCCAAAAAGAAGTTTCTCCAAGCAAGAGAAGCTCATCTGTGCACTTTGATTCCTTCTTAAACACTCAAAAATCCATTGTTTATCTCTAGTGGATTTCAATGTGCTAGACACGGCCAGTGCTTCCTACACTTAGTAGGCTGTGAATGAAGAATAAGCTCTATTTCCCAGAAATCAGTCTAATTGAGCAAATAAGTGAGACATACCAAAAACAACTTAATAGCAGGAGACTGAATTTTGTAAACATACTGAGTAAGAAATACAATAAAAAACCCAGAGTGTCTCGAAAAAGAATCTGTGTTCAGGAATTATGAGATCAGGGCCCATGTTATGAACATCTCTCTATCTATGATTGTGTTGTTTAATGCTTTCATTTTGTTTCAATGTATTCCTGCTTAGCCACTAAGTGAAGCACCTGTGAGATCACATGTGGTAACAAATGGGCTAAGTTCCCAAATCCAGAGGCTCCTGGGTGATGCTAAGGGCACAGCCTGGGAAAAGAATCTGTGTTCTTACTCCCTCTTGCCTACAGTGGAAAACCCAGAAGG